TTAAAATGGGCATGGAAACCAGGTTTCCCATTAACACCATTGTGCGCTATAGTATGACGTGCCTTGTTTCCATCTGATTTTTAAAGCATTAAATCAGTCTGGGCCAGGACAATGACACTTTTTCTGTATAGTAGGATACCTGATATGTACTGAGAAGTTGATATTTGCCTGGCCCAGAGAAGTTTAAGGCATTAAAATGGGCATGGAAACCAGGTTTCCCATTAACACCATTGTGCGCTATAGTATGACGTGCCTTGTTTCCATCTGATTTTTAAAGCATTAAATCAGTCTGGGCCAGGACAATGACACTTTTTCTGTATAGTAGGATACCTGATATGTACTGAGAAGTTGATATTTGCCTGGCCCAGAGAAGTTTAAGGTATTAAAATTGCCCCCCTACAGGCGCAATAGCGCCATTGCATTGGGCTGCGAAGCATTTAAGGTGGACCGGAAAATCCGAATAAGGAGCCAACTTCAGCGTCGTCCGAAACACAGTATCCAAAAAGGCGAGGCAAAGAGAGTACTCAGGACCTAAGCAAGATTTCAAACCCGAAGACAAACAAACCGAAGGGAAAGGTACCAATATGGCAAAGCAGAAAGTCAGAAACCAGGAAACCAAAACAGTCATACACAGATAATCAAACCAATAAGCAAACCAAAGATAATCCAAACAATGAGCAGAGCTCCCGAAGTTTGCGATCCGCGGTCTTTTCTTCACAGGAACCAGGAAGTGACGCGTGATGCATCAGAGGATATGTGGGCGGGGTCCAGTCAAGGAGGCGGAGCCAAGATGCAGCCGGCGAATGACGACGAAGGAGGGAGGTCCGGAGATTCTGCAGGGCTCCCCCTGGAACTTACGGCAGGTAACACTGTCACCCAGACCTGTCATTGAAGTTTTCCCTGTGTTGTATGCTGTGCTTGCAATATCCCCGCCCCAGGTTGTTGGATTACTATGGCGTTAAATTAGTGCCAAAACTCCCATAGTGAAACATCGAGCTTTGGGTTGCTTGACGTAATCCCTGGTTCTTTGATAACAGAGTGAGGTGTTTCACCATCACTTCCCGTCTTGCGCAGGCACAGGAAGAAATCCTTTTAGAAAGAGCCGTCAGGGAAGGTCGACCGCATTAGTAGGGCAGGGGCGGAGCCTGGTCGCAGGTCGACCTGTTCATCACGGACGGACGTGGTGTCATTGGAGCTTCCGCAGTTGGTCACGCCCAAAGCGATTCCCATAGTGAAACATCTCACTCTATTATCAAAGAACCAGGGATTACGTCAAGTAACCCAAAGTTTGTAAGTGCGATGGCATGGCTCGGAGCGAAATTGCATCCTGATTGACGGACTCAGAGCTGACTGTCCGACTCCACGCGTTTTGCAAATAGCACAAACAATCAGACATACAAACAAAACTTTACTTGTGGAATGACAATTAATTGCAACAGAAATGTTAAAGCACTTTAATGAGGTTCAGAATTACAAAAACTACATTTAATCTCCCAGCAGTTCAATGACAAGTGTCCAATGTAAATAAATGTCATTTAGTAAAAGACAAAGAATTATCACACAAATACTTTTGATTAAAAATGTTAAAATTGATTCTAAGGATTTAAAAAAAAAATCAATACAGTAATGGGAGTAAATATCATGAATTACACAGCAATTGCTCATAGAAATGTATTTCAGAGAAAGTTATAAATACAAATCACTACAGTAATGTGATTAAATGTTATGCAGCACAATACACAGCACGTGCTTATGCAAATATATATAAAAAATATTCTGCACAGAAAAAACTTCAAAGGACATGCATTACATATAATTTCATTACACAAATATACTTCAGAGGTCTTTAAAAAAACAGTACAGTAACATGATTAAATTGCATGCATTATGCACTGCATGTACTTACATAAACACAAATGAGATTAAAAATCACCAGTCACTCATGTGATTACTTGACTAATTGCATAGCATCAAAGCATCATACACTTCAAATGACTTTCAAAGTATCAGTTACACTATCATTACAAATTACTAATCAGTACAGTTACATGTCACGACATGAATGGGTGTATGCTGCAATATGGTTGTCATCTTTAAGCTTTTCTGCATCTTGCTCAGTCACACCGACCACCTGCATATCCTCTCCCACCACATCCATAAATCTCCTCTTAGGCCTTCCTCTCTTCCTCTTACCTTGCAGCTCCATATTCATCACCTTGCTATATGCTGCAGCACAGTAACAAGATTAAATTACATGAGTTAAACACTGCATATACTTACATACACAAATTATATTAGAGCAGTACAGTGATTTGTGGTTAAATGACATTATACAGGTACACTTCAAAAAACTTTCAAAGCAACAGTTACAGTAACATGACGTGAATTATGTGCTTACATACAGAGACTAAATGTCAGTAGTCACGTGATTAAACAAGAAATGGGAAAAAAAAAGGTTCGATAGCATTTGACGATGCAGGAAGACTCCACACTGTATTGTTTACAATCATGGTGAGACAAAAAGAAGCAGCCATGTACACAAAAACACACATTGTAGACATTGCTGAGAACACAAACCTTCTTCCCAATGCCATTGTCTTTTGTTACGCAAACAAAATACAGTATAATGACTCCCATCAGTCATAACTCATGAAATATGACTTGCGAAAACTTTCACAAATCAATGTCAGTGTCTGAAGGGTATATGAAGGTGTGAAAGGTCCTTGTTTGACCATCACAAGTCATCTTGGTCTGTTTTAACCAGTTTAAATGCATGTAGGATGAATGGAATTATTAAAATGTGTGGATTTGGGCTATATTGTTGGTCCACCTTAAGACCTATCTCTCCGGTCCTCCTTAAAACGCGCGTTTTTCAATGTTTTTTTTTTATGGTTTTACACGCAATTTGTGGACATGTTATCAGTTGTGAACTTTTTCACAAATCAATATGTTTAATATGAAATGCTTTTGGAGTCATGAGGACGTCTAGTTTTGACGAGAGAAGCTAATGAAAATAAATGGCCAAAATGCATTGTAGGCGGTTTTAAGGTAATTTATTTGTATTTTCTGAATTCACAAATCAGGACCAGCACAAGGAGCAATAATTCGTATTGTTTCGTGCATATATAAGGTTTTTATGGCCGTTTGAAACGTGAATAACGAACCGCAAACTAACTTCAAACGTACTATAGCTGTAGCCTACCTGGTAAAATACAAAGCCGCAGACCAGATCAAGAAAGTTACATTATACGTAGCCATGGCAACCGATACAAGACATATACGCAGGCAATTTAACAAGACATTAACTTACAGCCCCAAACGCTTCTACAGTCCGATCCAACAACAAAATGAAGGTCGGAGGGCACAGCAATTCTCCAAGATGAATGACAAAATCTCCAACTAAAGAAGCGTCCGGAGCAGATGATGAATCCACACAAACAACATCGCAGCTGTTTTTGCCTCTGATAAGTCCCGACCAGTCCAAGAACACTTTACTGGGGCTACAATTATCCCAGAACATAGTACATCTAGTGTTGATGTTGGCGTAAGAGTCTGAAAGCTTAAAGAAAAGCTAAGCCACCTCCGTCCCGCCTGCAGCTATGATAATCCCGTAGTTCGAGGTCTCGCTCAAAACGGCAGCATTGGCTGCTAAGAGCTAAACATTCAAATTCAATTAGGCAATATGAACGCTGACTTGATATGACACACCAGTCAGCGAAATGCCACATGTAAAAGAAACACACCTGAACTATGAGAAGCTTCAAGACGGTCACCAGCACTACTGCCACTTAATCCATTCAGATGCCCTGCCAAAAGCAATTTTAAAACAACTTTTAGTCAACAATATTAACCCAACATCTACAGCAGTACAAACAAAGCAACATACCCGTATAAACTGCAGAACTATTACAAACGGGACCAGGGGCGGCGGGGAGGGCATTACGAAACAGAACAGTACACCTTACGCCCACTGATGCGGAGGGACGCCCGTTAAATAACCCCAATCAGCCACATTCACTCCACCACATCAGCGCAGATATAGTGCTTGTGTGTTTTCAGAAGCAAAGATCTTCATTTACATGCTGCAATTACATGCAAATATTGTAGTATTAGTATTTGTACGTAGTAGCTTCAATACATTGATGTTAGCTAATAATAAGACTGTCCATACAAATGTATACCACTTCTACAAAAAAAAAAAAAAAAAAAAAAAAAACGGAAGCGGAACAATTTAAGCAGCTCCAATATTTTCCATCAATCAGACAAGGTACCAAAATTAATATTAAAATATGGCCACGTTTATAGGATCGGTAGATCATCTCTCTGTATCTATTAAACATTAAATTCCATTTGAATAAGACCTCAGCATGGGAGAGACGCTGCTGGGAATTTGTTGGGAACTGGCGCAGACTGGTTAGCCGATCCAGCGCGGCTCTACCTCTCTAAGTCGGACGGAAGAGGGAATTATTATTGGCATCGGAAAGGGAAACGAAACATCGCGTTTGCTTGCTTTTAAACTACCATCTAATCGGCATATTTCGCATTGCAGGCATAGGTATATATTATAATAATAATATAGGACACCGTATTGTGCACTGTAGAAGACAGAAATGCCGGCGCCTACTTGCATACATGGGAACATGGCCTAAAGCCTATAAACTGTGCGAGCCAATTGCATGCTGTGACTGCAGACGAGGGTTTTATTGTATTTACTGCTAGTTTAAGATAGGCCTGTTAGCAGGTGGAACGAAAAATATTGTGTAATATTGTAGCGTGCTAAACAATCGTTTACTGTTTATATTTATAAGAATGGCGCAGCTTATAACAATGGCGTATATAATTATTCAATCATTATAACAGTAAGGATTTTTTGATGCCAACATAACTGTATAGAGATACTGAACATTATTTGATCATCTGGTACAAGGCATGTTCTGCGGCTTAGATGGTTTGAATGTATTATTTCACATGTCTGCCTGTCTTACTAATCAGTAAGTATGTTATTTTTTTCTAAATGCTAGTTCACGTCAGTTTATTTATGGCGAACTTTAAGGTGTACTAAACAACGACCAGTTTGTTTATTATAAAGCAGAATGGCTTAGCAGTGTACAGTTTTGTGGGGTATGAGTGTTAATTAAGCAATGCAAGTTTAATAGCCTCGTGAAAATGCATTTATTTTACAACAGGCTACGTTACCCGTTTAATCAAAACAGCATATTATAAAGATTTATTTTCTTTATATCTACATGTTTGCCGTTGCTGTCACGTAGTATGAATAACATTAATTATTAATAGCATAAGGCTTGTGGTTTTCATGTTATGTACACCGCTTTGATGAACCCATAATATTGCCGTGATATTTTCTACAGGCATTTGTAAGGTCCATGCAGTTGTTACACCAACCTGAAGTGTTCAAATATAGATTATCTTTGGTTGGTCTGGAGATTTTCTAATATTAATGCTCAGTATATCGTTTGGTGATTAGAGTGCCATGAAATAGGCTATCTTGCGCTTCTAAAATGTGTAGCCTATACTGAAAATCATGAAAGTGGATTTAGTATAGTGTGTAGTGGAGTACTTTTACCATGCCAACGATTTTTAAATGGTAATGGTTTTATTAACCAAACCTGGCATGTGTACTGAAAGTGTGTAAGAGCACTTTGATAGTTGCCACCGCGTGGATTGATTTTGAAGATTAACATCGTTATAATTTTTTACACAAATATCATTTTCGTTTAACATTATGGTTTTGAATTTATCATTGGATGGTGTTAAAGCAGCTAATGATCCTGAAATTGTTTGTTGCTTTTGAGTCCGGGGATGTCATTTTGGGTGACTCAGTAAGATGTGCTGTGGCTTCACACCTCCAAGGTTGGGAACAGCCTCCCACTGTGCACTCTGGTGATTACTGAAAGTTTTCTTGAGGGACATTTTTTGGATAGTCCACATTTACACCTGAGCTGTTATGCTAAACTAAGGATTGCCGTTGTGCTACAAGGTATAAAGTCCAGTCAGTTTTGTTTATTGAGTTTACTCCTCTTTTGTGAGGCATTGATTAAGCACATTCTGTTTTTATTTTAGTTTTTAAATAATAATAAGCAGTCAAAAAAGTTGCTAAGGCACAATGCAGTAAGAAATTATAAAATGTATAACCCATCAGAAGGTAAAATGTAAAAATGGATTTGCTGAGGAATATAAGCTAGAACATTGTTGCTGAAGAAGTAGAGCCAACTTGACCAGTCACTGTTTGTCCAGGAACATGTTCACTCTATTATGAGATGAAAAGTATCCACAACACAGTGTACATTATTAAAATGTTATATTCTGAGTCACGTAGCATGAGCGTGTGAGTTATTGTATGTGAGAATAAATTCTATAAATTCTTAGACATCTGCTGGGCCTAGAAAATTAAAATTCTTCTCAGTGGCATGGGTGCAGCAGGAGAGGGCAGAGCCAGTGGCAGTGGGATTCTGGGTTAATTATTACGCCTGGCATGGCTTAGCAAGCATGTCAGTAGGGCAAGGAGGCCCGTATCACCCAGAAAGGAGGACCTCAAACATCACAAGCTGACCAGGTTGAGCAAACCTGTTTTGTAGTAAGGAAAGAAGAATGAGAGGCATGGAAGGTAGAGGGAATGCTGGAAGGGCTTGGAAGTATTAACTTGCATGGTCTCTGTTTACTTCAGCCAGAAGAAGAAGGCTGAGAATACAGACGGACATGCTGGAGTTTGAGCGGGATTCCGAGGACCTGCCCAGGGGTTTGCTCTGCAAAACGCAGACGGTCATCCGATAGGTCTAACATGCCACACATAAGGTGACCTGGCAGCTGGCATGCACTGCATCTGAGGCTACACTGCAGCCAAGCAGCAGCATCTCCTGAGGCGGCTGACAGACACTGTCAGTTCCAGAGGTAGTGCACCCAGAGCATCGGGTAGCCAGCCTGACTTCCAAGCACCAGGTAGCTATTCGTGGTTTGCTCACCAAAATTACTAGGGAAAAGCAAAGAAACCATATATAGCAACTGCAAATCTTAAGAGACTCTGTACTTGACATTACGGGGGTCTCTCTCTCTCTTTCAACATTTATGTAGCAGATGTTTTTATCCAAAGTGTTGTATGACTGAGAAGGCAGGGTCAGTTAGTCCCGGAAGAAAATAGGGATTGAGGGCCTTGTTCAAGGGCCCAACTGTGGCATCCCTCTGCCAGTTTGAACTGGAAACCCAAACCTGCTGAGCCTCACTCCTCCCCCTCACTTGCTGTCCAATGGTCTAAAGCTTCTTTGTCACCTGATCTTATAGCTGGCCGGAGGCTGCCGCTACAACTGGATGTCCTTTCTTTGTCTTTGGTCGGACACTGAGGTTTGAAAGAGAGAGAGAGAGATCGAGAGCGATCGAGAGAGAGAGAGAGAGAAAGACCCCCCCATGGGGACCCTATATTGGCGGCTATATTAGATGTTTGGCTCAGGAGGCCCATTAACCTTGCTATATTTATGACATTCCCTCATGTTTCTGTACTCTGTGTATCACTGTGCAGAGGAAGCCTAAGTGTTTTGAAGATTGGAGTATTTCATAGATCCATCCATTTTCTATACCTGCTTGTCCTGTGCAGTGTTGTGATGCTCCAGAGCATATATCAGTAGCTATGGGTGCAAGGCAGGGAATAAACCAGGATGGGCCTATTTCACAGATGTCTGTAAAGAAAAATGAACAAAACTTGATTCTTTATATATTGATATATGTTTACAGCACTGCCCCCACCCCCAGATTTTTAATGATCTATAGTTAGTAACATACTATTCCTGAATATTTTACCAACACTTTGGCCAGTCTTTTGACTGTCATTGCAAATACATTGATTACAGAAGATGCAGACTGGCATCTCTAAACTGCCCAGAGTGTGTCTGTCTGCTTTCCTATTGATTAACTTCCTGTCCAAGGTTTTTTCCTGCCCTGTGTGGCCTCGGAAATCTGTGCTAGATAAGTAGCTGGAAGATAGATTGATAATACAAATTCAACAGGAAAACAATTTTCGTTATTGACAGTTTACCTAAACGATTGTCAAATAAAAAAATTCTAAGGTTACTTCTAATTGACAGATGCTTATGTACTGATTTGGCTTGAATATTAGATGATGCTGATTATGTGCCATATTAGATGACTCTCCTTCTTTTTCAGCAACTATTTTTGTAAAAAATTGGAATACCAAATCTTATCTTTCTAAAGAAAAATAATTTTATTTCACAAGAATATATAAGCAGTTAACCATCTAATTGTTAAAAAAGCAACCACAGGCAATCGCCTCACGATAAGTGTAGTAAACAGCAAACATTTCAAAAAAACATTTATTTTTAAGGGGGGAAAGGATAGATAGCCAATATTACAACCCCACTGTTATATGTGAATAATGACATTTAAATTCTAGCCCTCAAAGCCGACCACAGTTTTTTAGATGTAACTTCGAAAGAAAAAAAAATCTCACTGTCTTATATTTGGGCCAAAACTATAATTTCTTTGCTTTTGACATGCATTGCATTATTTATTGACTTTGTTTGTTTTAAAGTTATGCAACATGGCTCAGAAGTAAATTATTCAGCTGATAAGTTGTATTTCAGAGAGTGCTCTGGTTTTACAATTAAAACATACTACAGATTAAGTAAAATGGAATGTTTCTACAAAGTCAAATTTTTAAAACCTCTTTTTACATCTGTTTTAGGAATGTTTACCCTAACAGAAGTAGCCTCTCTTAACGAAGTCCAACCAACATACCGAATATTGAAACCATGGTGGGACGTCTTCATGGATTATCTCGGTATTGTCATGCTGATGTTGGCGATATTTTCTGGCACCATGCAGTTAACCAAAGACCAAGTGGCTTGTCTTCCCATTGTGGAATCTGGGGAAGAAACAAGCAAGTCAAACACGTTCACAGTGCAAAGGCCATCTGAGAGCGCTACCACTGGAAATGCGGTGAATGTCAACAGGGTCACGCTAGCTGCTGCACCACTAAGTTCTAAGGATCAGCCAGACAGTATTGTTCGTGAATTCCATCTCTCTCAATCAGTCTCCGTCAAAGAAGACAAAATACCAGGTCAGCCTTTGGCAACAGGGGTTAAAACAAACTTGGATTTTCAACAGTATGTCTTTGTCAACCAGATGTGCTACCATGTAGCCTTGCCTTGGTATTCAAAGTACTTTCCGTACCTTGCTCTCATCCATACCATTGTACTCATGGTCAGCAGTAACTTTTGGTTCAAGTACCCAAAGACTAGTTCTAAAATTGAACATTTTGTATCAATCTTGGGGAAATGTTTTGAGTCTCCTTGGACTACAAAAGCTTTGTCTGAGACAGCCTGCGAGGACTCGGAGGAGAATAAGCAGAGACTTACTGGTGCACCCTCTTTACCGAAGCATTTTTCAATGAGCAGTGAAGAGGGAAGTCCTAACCAATCTGCCCCTGTGTTGACAAAAGCAGGGGTGAAATTCTCCACTGAGAAGCCTATCATTGAAGTTCCGAGCATGACAATCCTAGATAAGAAAGACGGAGAGCAGGCTAAAGCTCTTTTTGAGAAGGTGAGAAAGTTCCGAGCCCATGTTGAGGACAGTGATATGATCTACAAGCTTTATGTTGCACAAACCATTATCAAAACAGTGAAGTTCATTTTGATCCTGTGTTACACTTTAACTTTTGTTGCCTCCATCAATTTTGATCACAGGTGTGAACCTAATATCAAACACCTAACTGGATATGCAAGCTTCCACTGTACGCATAATATGGCATACATGTTAAAGAAGCTACTTGTTAGTTATATCTCTCTTATATGTGTCTATGGCCTAGTATGCATATACACTTTGTGTTGGCTCTTTTGGCGTCCTCTGAAGGAGTACTCCTTTGAGAAGGTCAGAGAGGAGAGCAGCTTCAGTGACATTCCAGATGTTAAGAATGACTTTGCTTTTCTTTTGCACATGGTTGACCAGTACGATCAGCTGTACTCCAAGCGTTTTGGTGTATTTCTATCCGAGGTAAGTGAGAACAAGCTACGGGAGATAAGTCTGAACCACGAGTGGACCTTTGAGAAGCTGCGTCAGCATGTGACTCGTAACAGCCAAGACAAGTTAGAACTGCATCTCTTTATGCTTTCTGGAGTTCCTGATGCAGTGTTTGATCTCACTGACCTGGAAGTCCTAAAACTGGAGTTAATTCCCGAAGCTAGGATCACAGCTAAGGTTTCTCAAATGACTAATATTCAGGAGTTGCATTTTTATCACTGTCCTGCCAAAGTTGAGCAGACTGCATTCAGTTTTCTTCGTGACCACCTTCGGTGCCTTCATGTCAAGTTTACAGACGTTGCAGAGATTCCCACGTGGGTATATTTGTTGAAGAATTTGAAGGAACTATATTTGGTGGGCAACCTGAACTCTGAAAATAACAAAATGATTGGTCTAGAATCACTCCGTGACTTGAGGAATTTAAAGATCTTGCATCTGAAGAGCAATCTCACAAAAATTCCTTCGAACATAACAGATCTTTCCCCGCATCTCACAAGACTGGTGGTGCATAATGACGGTACTAAACTTTTGGTACTTAACAGTTTGAAGAAGATGATGAACTTGGCTGAACTGGAGTTACATAATTGTGAACTGGAACGAATCCCTCATGCTATCTTCAGTTTGACTAACCTGCAGGAGTTGGATCTCAAATCAAATAATATCCGGACCATTGAAGAAGTCATTAGTTTCCAGCATCTAAAAAGATTAATATGTCTAAAACTGTGGCATAACAAAATCATTACAATTCCTTTGTCTATAAGCTATGTCAAAAACCTTGAATCCCTCTACCTTTCACATAACAAATTAGAGTCTTTGCCTTCGTCTCTATTCAGTCTACCCAAGTTGAGGTACTTGGATGTGAGTCATAACTCCATTGTTGTGATTCCACTTGAAGTGGGGTTCTTGCAAAACCTCCAGCATTTTGCTATCTCAAGTAACAAGATTGAGGTTGTGCCCAAGCAACTCTTCAAATGCACCAAGCTAAAGACTTTGTGTCTTGGACAGAATTCTATTTCTAGCCTACCCGAGAAAATAGGCCAGTTGGTGCATCTCACACATTTGGAATTAAAAGGAAATTGTTTGGATCGGCTTCCGGTCCAGCTGGGGCAATGTCGCTTCCTCCGAAAAAATGGTCTTATTGTTGAAGACCATCTTTTTGACACACTTCCTCTGGAAGTTAGAGAAGGCATCAGTCAAGAATCCAGTGTTAGTTTTGGAAATGGTGTTTAGGTAGAGATAATCAGCAGAACATTATTATTATTATTAATATTATTATTCATAAAAAACAAATTTAACATCACTTGCAATCAGTGGTGACAGTTGACTGAAGCGTCTGGTTTGCAGATCGATAGGGTGTGCTTTGACCTGTTTTATGCAGAAGGAAAACATTAACAGCAACCAACATTTAAAATTATTTTGTACTATAAATGATTTTTGTTTGGTTTTATCAACACATTGTTTATTTAATTTATTCAGACAACTTTGGAAAATATTAGCCACTGTGTTCATTAAAAATAGCATTATGTTATTTGACGATGTATACAGTATTAGTGAGATATGGTTTAGTAACTTAATCATGATTTTTTTTTTAATTGTTTTGGAAATTGCTTTTCTTAAATTTTTCAGTTATGGAAGTTTCACTGAAGCAAATGATTAGTTCTCTTTCTAAAGCATACAAAGCAGATCACCTCCTAGCATTTGAGTTGCAAAGTCACAAGTTCTTGTCCTTAACCATCTACCTGCTGTCCTGGATCTTCGGTGCATATGAGTTAGTTCAGAGGATTCTCTACCTCACTTTTAAAAAAAGATTCCTCCATACCTACATAGATACACGTGGTGGCCATTTTATTAGATACGCCTACATACTTGTATTACGAGTTATAACCCCTTTTTCTCTCCAGAACCACTTCTAGGTTTGATGACTTGTTCATTCAGAAGCCATTCTGTACATCTTTGCTGTTCTGAGCTGACATATCAGCTCCTGTAGCTCAACAAGCAAAGCATTGTGCACATAGCAAAAAGTCCCAGGGAGCACATACATCAGTTGTGACCCTGTGCTCGGCTATAAGTTGTTTGGATAAAATGAATGAACATATATATTCTCACACTTCTGACTTCAGCGTATGAAAATCTATGGAGAGTGGCTGTTTCCAGGATGTTGGAACCCTGAAGTCTGACATCAACAATCACACCATGTTAAAATTTCTTAGATTATGTATCCAAGTCATTAAAATGCTTATTCATACAGTAGCTTAACCTCAGTTAGTTGCAGCTGCCTGATTTGCTGTTTGTAGAGCATGTTGTTTGCGATAATGAGCAGGTACCAACACACTGACACCTGGGTTGTTTGTGTGTATATAAGCAACTTTATGTTTTTTGTTGGTCAGATTTTTACTTGACCAGTCCATTTCATTTAAAAGGCTCTGAACTTATTATACTTAATGAAGTACGGATAAGGAAATTATGTAGACTAATAGCACGTCTTTCAGATGCATTATTTTTGCGCTATTTAAAAAAAACAAAAAACAAAAACGTTAGAGTACCAGCAGATGGCGCTCTTCCCTTTTAAATCCATTCCAGATGCCATGTATCACCTAAATATGTCACCAACAGTCCACATTGTCCACATTTTTATGTTCGCCAAGTAAAACACTTAAAATGTTATGTGTTTACTTAATATGGTGGTTTTTAACCTTATATCTGTCCACAATAGCAGTGTGTTTATGTAATACATATCTTTTTTTAATTACTAACCCTAAATAAGAGTTGTAAAGCATCAGACAGTAAAGTCACCTCGTCATGTTATTGTCAGCATTACCTGTACTAAATGTTCTGGACAGGATGATGGTTTGGGGCCCATTATTATTATTGTTATTAGTTATTATTAGTTATTATTTTATGTCATTGCCTCATTTTCCTTCCATTAAGTTATTGTTGTTGATCTTTGTTGCAGTTATTTAATTTTAATGACTACATCTACTTAGCATATATTTTCCCACAGTGAAGCAGGTCTCTTAGTTTACTTGCATACACACACCAGACAGTGACACAAAATGTTGCTGTTTTATCTAATAAAATTGTAAGCTTGATTTGAATCTCTTTGCATATGCACACAAAACATATGCACTATTACATTTTTGTCCCCTAACAACCGCATGTGATCAACCCTTGGCGTATTCTCTTAATCACAGTATGTAGCAGATGTATGCAATAATTCCTCCATGCATTTATCCTGATATAATATTTACATAGTCTGGAGACTACCAGTAGATACGTTTTAGATTTATGACATTTTTAAAGGAAATTATTGTATCAGTCCTTTCTGCTCTTCCATTCCATATGCTTGAGAATGGAAATTATGTTAAATAACATTGAACAGATATCTAACATCAGTTTAATTAAACTACAATAGTAGGTTCCTGTAAATTTGACTTTTAAATGTTATTGGGTTTTAAGAAAAATAAATTCAGTGAAATCAAATTTTCTTGATTCAATTGTATTTTTTAAGGATACAATAACTTTGCCTATCCATATACACTCACCTAAAGGATTATTAGGAACACCATACTAATACGGCGTTTGACCCCCTTTCGCCTTCA